ATTAACTTTTAGAATTTTTAAAAATAAAATAAAATTTGAATTTAAATTTTTCCCGCCAAAAATTAAACTTACGCTTCATCTAGCGAATTATTAAAGAACTAATTTTAGCGGCCATTTTTGAATACCCAGAGTAAATACAGTAAATACAGCTCTTGAATTTGTCTCCGTCGCTCACTGGTCGGTCAAACGTCACTCGTGTTATTTTAATAAAATTTAAACGCGAAGATAATTTCAAAATAAATTATAATAGCCCTCGCTCGCTATAAATAACAAGCTTAGCCAATAAAATAATAATAAAATTTATACTTTAATTTTTTTTTATAAAAAAAAAATTGAGGTTTTATTTTATTTAGTGCAATAAAATTTGAAAAAATAAATTTTTTATATGGGAATGTTAAGCGATTTTATTGTTAACGCGACCTGTCAAGAGGTAGGTAAGTTTTTTTTTTTTTTTAATAAAATTTGTTATTTTTGTAGTTAGTAATTGTTTTTTATTAATTAGTTATTTTAATCATCCTTGAGAGCCGCGAAGTGACACGGATATCGATTTTATTTGCACGAGTATATACATGTGCACTCGAGGTCACTGGGACTATCAATTTTCAACCCTCAGATTTTAGTCAATAAATTTTCAGGGTCATGAAAAAAATTTTTTTTTTTAATAGGAGATTTAGGAATTAATTAATTAGTTATTTTAGGAAATATTTAAGTGGCTATATCTCCTAAAATATTGAAAATAGACCCCTACAACAATAACATTTTTTATAGGAAATTTCCTAAGCTACAATTTTTGATTCCTATAAATTCCTCCTAAAATTAATATTTTAGGAGTTATGACCACTTTTATAATTCCTAAAGAATAATTCTTAATATTCCACTATCAAAATTCCCATATCTCCTAAAATATCAAAAATAGCCCCACAGTATAAAAACATTATCCATAGGAAATTTTTTAAGCTACAATATTTTTGCTGCATAAAAAATTTATTGATAAATTACGTAAATTACAAATTACTTCCTAAAAAAAATATCAATCAGAAAAATTACACACGGAAGTACAAGATTAATTACACACTGACCTTGTAATTATTCAATAAATTCTCAATTTACTCAAGGAGATTTTTAAAACTTATTATTGTACTTACATTTAATCGGGGATTTAAAAATTAAAAGCAAATAATATCATGTATAATTGTTTTTTAATTATTATTATCAGTGCAAGTGTATGATACGGCCGTGAGCTGTATATTAAGACTTAGCAAAGACCCCCTGCAATTTTTATTACGTATTAACACACATGTATGTCTCTTTAAATCAACTGTGATAATTATAATTATAGTAACAAGTGATAATTCTGTATTTACTCTTCTTATATATTTTTTATTATTTATCACTTGTTATTATTATTTTTATATTTTATTATAAAAAGGAATCAGACCGATATTTTCTATAGAGAAAATCCTATTTTTTATTCTAAAAATTAATTAATTAATTAATTAATTATTTATTTTAATAAGAATTTACTTGACCTTTTTTTTGTAATAAAAAAAAATTAAATTTAGTATATTTTATTCTTAATTTTTTTTCCTAAAAAAAAAAAGAAAAATAATTAATAATTATCCCTCTTTAAAAATAATAATAATTTAAAAATCTTTTTACATTCATTTGTGGACATTAATATAATAAATTAATATTTTATTAAATAAAAACTAAATATTAGAATAATTAATTAGAAAATAAATAAATAAATATTTTATTTAATTTATTTTCATCAAAATTTTTAAAACTCTTTTAAAAATAAAAAATCTATTTTTTTTTTATTTTACCCGAAAGCTGATTTTAATTCTCAGCTGTACACGGAAAGAACAAGATTATACTGGATATAATCCCAGATTATACTGAGTGAAAAAAAAATTTCAGATAGTAGCTAGTATAATCCAGATACACAATGAGTATAATCCAGATTATAATGAGTATAATCTAAATATTATTCAGTATAATCTGGATTATACTAGCTACCATCTGAAAATTTTTTTTCTCCTCAGATGTCACTGAGTATAATCTGAGATGGTATCCAGTGTCATCTTGTTCTTTCCGTGTATGTGTTCTTGTATGCAAAATATCAATTAAAAGTCAATTTCTAATTTCTAGTGTTATAATTATGTTTGTTAAAGCTTCTTTTAATATAATTAAATAAATATTTAGGTTCTTTGTTTATAATTATAATTATCTTATAATTAAGCATCTAGCAATTGTTATAATTAATTATAAAAATCATCCTTTGTTTTATAGTCATCCATCCTAATGTCTCTAACATTTTATTTATACTAATAAAATAATTATTAACACACAAAATTAGCCTCATAGCTTAATTTTGGACTTTTTGCATTTTTCTCAATTCTCAATTCTTTTCAATCAATATTTTTAATCAGGGATATTTTACATATTTAATAAATAAAATTAATTATATACTTAACCTTTTACTTTATAAAAAATTTCCTTAAAAAAGAAAAATTTGCTATTAAAATTTTAGAATTTTTCTTAATAAATAAATATAAAAAATTGTAATAATTATTTTTTAAGATTAAAAAAATTATTAATAAAATTTTTTTGTGTTTTTTTTTTTTTAATTTCTTGGTTGAAAAAAATACTGAACTCTATTAACAAAAATTTTATTCCTTTCATAGCAAATAACGAATAAAAAGCTGTTAGATGCCGGGAAATATTAATCCGTGATCCCCATAAATTCCATTGAAATAAAATAATTGACCTACTTCTTTAGATTTGAAGTGAAAAAAAAAAAAAAAAAACGAAAAAATATATATCTATTTTACATGATGCGAGAGTGCTTCACTAATTTTCGTTTTAATTTAAGTACATATTTTATGATTTATTTATGAGGCTCTATTCGACTAATGGATTAATGGTTCATTCGAAACATTTTCGCAGTGGTAAACTAATTTCTCCCAAAGTTTTTTTTTATAATTGTAATATAATTTACAATACTGAAAAATATAAAATAGCCGGGTTTAATGAAAAAAATCGGAATTTATTATTTTACTCTAGATTGAACTGAAAAAAGTTTGTATTCACCATTACCTGTTTTTATAATATTAAATTACAATTAAAATTCATCCATTATTTTTTTCAATAAAAATTCAATAATTAAAAAAAATATATCCCAGGTAAATTTTAGGAATAAAAATAAAGTTATTATTATAAAATAAAGGTACAACTTTCAACATAAAAAGTTTCACTTTAGTAGGAATATATTTTTTGCGGGTTTCTTCGGTCAATAATTGGTGATTTTAGTATTTCAACATTCAAATAACAAAATTAATATAATTTTGTTAATTTTTATTATAAATAGTTATTAATTATTATTAATTAAGTATTTAACTTTAATAAAATCCATTATAAATTGGTTTTAGTAGGTTTTTTATAGCTTAGTACAGAAAAAGAAAACCTTAATCGGTCAATAATTGGTGCATTTATCCTATATTAATTTTAAAAAAATAAAGAATTTTTTAAATAAAAAAAAATTATTGGCTGATTTAAAAATTATAATTTTTTAGATTTTTATTAAAAAAATATATTTTATTTTTTTAATAAGTGTCTTAATAAAAATTAAAAAAAAAAAATTATTGGCAGCTGATTTAAAAATCATAAATTTAATTTTATTGAATTTAGCTGTCACTTGACAATTTTCAAATTTTTTTTAACAAAAAAATTATTTTTATAAAATTGCATTTTTAATTTATTAAAATTTTTACAAGTCCATTTTTTTAATAATCATTTTTTTGTCATAATTTATTTATTAAAGAAAATTAAAAAAATTGTCTGACAGCTAAATTTAATGTCAAAAAATAATTAAATGTCTGATTTAATTAAAAATAATTTTTAATAAAAAATTAAAAAATAGCAATATTAAATTAATAATAACAAAATTAAAAACTCACCTTATAAAAAAAAACCGTTACTAAAATCAGCGTCTATAATCTATAATTAGAAAGAAAACATTAGACCAGCATATATTATACAATAACAAGTAATATATTATCAAACTATACCTACCTTGCTTGCACCAGTAACACCAGACACCAGCACCCGCTCCCAGTTTCAACAAGTTAGTACTATTCAATATAATAATAAAATTCCTTCCTCTTCCCACTCCCACTCCTACTCCGCCATTTCATTTTTATATTTTTTCATCCTCTTCTTTCATCTTCCGTCTCATAATCGCTCATCACTGGCAAGCTGGTTAGGTCTGCTGGTAAGCACTCCACTAATTTAGTATAGTGTGTGTGTGAGTGTCACGTTTAACCAATTGACACTGGAATATTAAATATTAAATATATTAGAAAATTATTAACAATAATTATTAGTTTTTATTTTTTTTTATTTAGTATTTATTAAACCCGCCATTTTTTTTTATTAATATTTTAATATGCCTTCCAACGTACGTATTTTTTTTAATATTAATTTTTTAATAATATTAATTCTTTTTAATAGAATTCTTAGATTTTCATTTTTTAATTTTTTTTTTAGTGAAAAAAAAAAAAATTAAAATTGTCAAAAAAAAAAAAATTTAGATTTTTTTTTTTTTTTTTTTTTTCAGTTACAAGATGCGTAACCTATAAATACTTTTAATTGATTTATTTAGTTCAAGGTCATTGATAAAAAATAGAAAAAAAAATATTAAAATAACAATAATCATAACGCAAAAATTTTTTGTAAAAATTATTATTATTATTATTTAATTTTGTAACTTAATAAAAAAAATTGTAAAAATTATCATTATTGTTATTAAATTTTTTAACTTAATAATAATAATAATAAATTGAGAAAAAAAAACAAAAATATTAAAATAACCTAAAATGACCTTGATATTGACAGTAATCATAAATTTAATTTTAAAAAAATAAATAAAACTTTTAATTTAAATTTCATCTAATAAATTTATTATTATTAATTTTTTTTTTTTTTTTTTTATTTTTTAGGGAGCTGGATACCTGAAGAGAGCAAACAGTGAGCGTCTTCATGAAATATTTAATCAGGTAAATAAATTATTTTATTTTAGTATACTGAATTAATTTTATATATCAGACATCTGATAATTTTTATTTTATTTGTATAATAAATTTAGTTAAAAAAATAATTTTTAGTATATTAATTTTTATAAAAAATTTTATTTTCTAATAATTTATATTATAAAGTTGTTTTTATTTTTTTTTATTTTTTTAGGGAGCTGGATACCTGAAGAGAGCAAACAGTGAGCGTCTTCATGAAATATTTAATCAGGTAAATAAATTATTTTATTTTAGTATACTGAATTAATTTTATATATCAGACATCTGATAATTTTTATTTTATTTGTATAATAAATTTAGTTAAAAAAATAATTTTTAGTATATTAATTTTTATAAAAAATTTTATTTATTAATCAGAGGTCTAAGGTCTATATTATCGATATTTATATTGATAATTAATTATGTCACGGAATACTACTTAAAGATTATCAATTGGAATTTTTTTAGTAAAAATATAAGAAATTATTTATTAAGAATAATATTATTTTTCTTTTTCAGTATGCAACTCAGGAAAAAAATGGAGAACGTTATATGACCCCGTCAGATTTTGTACGAAGTTACCTGGGACTTTATACAGATTCTGACTATAATCCAGATTCAGTTGCTTTACTCGCTGGAATTGTTGATACTTCTAAAGATGGGTAAGTTAATAATTAAAAATAATTAATTAATAAATAAATAAATAAATTAATTAATTAATAAAATAAAATAAATTACAGGCTCATATCATTTGCGGAATTTCAAGCATTTGAAGGATTACTTTGTGTCCCAGATGCATTGTATAAAACAGCGTTCCAATTGTTCGACACAAATGGAAATGGAATGGTTGCATTTGGTAATAAAAATTACATAAAAAAAAAAATATTAATATATTAATTAATTAATTAAATTACAGACGAGTTCGCTGAGGTGATGAAAAAAACAGAGCTGCATAAAAAAATGCCCTTTAATATGGACAGCAGCTTTATAAAGCTCTACTTTGGGAAAGATCGGAAGCGGCTGATAACCTACGGAGAGTTCAGCCAGTTTCTCCACGACTTCCACGAGGAGTATGCTCTGGAAGCCTTCAAGAAGTTCGATAAGGACATGCAGGGGTTTATCTCCATCACGGACTTCCAGGAGATCATGATGAGCATCAAGAGCCACCTGCTGACCAAGGAAGTCAAGGAAAACTTGATCGCTGCAGCTACTACGGGGCATGGAGGTCGTAAGGTAAGATCTAGGAGTTTATAAAGTTGATTTTTGGAATGTAGATGAAATTCTGAGAAAAATGACGCGTCGCACGACCAGATTCGACGTAGGTCGATTTTGATTAATGATCTATAGATCATTTGATTAATTATTAATGCGATTTTTGGTAGGATCAAAAAGTAATTAATAAGGGTTGTAGGTACTTATTTTAATCGGGATTTAAAGATCTAGGTCGTGAGATTAATAATTTTTAAAAATACAAAACTTTTTTTTTCATTAATCATTAATGAGGCGATTAATGAGTCTAGAAAATTTTTAAAAAATAAACTAATTATAAATTATTAATCTTCGATACCTCCCGAGTAAAATGAGCCGTCTCACGACTCATTTGGTCGTAGGTCAATTTTGATTAATGATCTATAGATCATTTGATAAATTATTAACGCGATTTTTTAACTGAAAGCCTAAAGACAAATACCAAGTGTGGGTACTCATTTTTCTCAGAATTTCATGAAGTAGGTCGCGAAGCTACTCAAAAGTTACTTTAACAGGTGAGCTTCCCGTACTTCATGGCCTTCAACTCTCTTCTAAACAACATGGAGCTTGTAAAAAGAATCTACCTGAATGCGACCAACGGGCACAGATACCAAGAAGTCACCAAGGAGGAGTTCCTTTATTCCGCCCAGATGATGTCCCAGATCACTCCCCTGGAGGTTGACATTCTTTTTCACCTATGCGACCTGCTTCGTCAAAACACCAAGATTATTTACAACGACCTCGTGGCCATTACTCCGGAGCAATATTTCAAACATATCACCAGGCGGTTGGCGGAAATTAAAGCAGTTTCGGTAAGCATTAAATTTCTTAGTATTATCTATATTATTAAGAGAATAAAAATTTTGTCTCCAGGATACTTAATTAAGAAATTACCTTGTATCTTGAGAAATATTGACATTTTTAAGGATATAAGCTCATCCTGACATTATACTCATCAAGACTTTTCATTTGAGTACCCACATCAATTTTTCATATATTTCATATATTTATATATATCATATATATGTATATATGAAAAATATATCAAAAATGCATGTGGGTACTTAAATGAAAGCTCTTGATGATTGTAACATCAGGATGAGCTTATATCCTTAAAAATGTCAATATTTAAGAAAGTACAGTGCAGTTTAACAAAATTCATTATTTAATAAGTTTAATATTGAATTATTTGTTTTCAGAGTCCAGCGGACCGTGGAATAGGGACCCAAATTCTGGAGTCAGGTTATAGGTTCGTCCTAGGATCTATAGGAGGTGCTGTTGGGGCAACAGCAGTCTATCCTATCGACTTGGTGAAAACGAGGATGCAAAATCAACGCACGGGATCTTTTATTGGAGAGCTCATGTACAGGAACAGCTTTGATTGCTGTAAAAAAGTTATCAGGCACGAAGGATTCTTTGGTTTATATCGAGGTCTTGTTCCACAATTAATGGGAGTCGCACCTGAGAAGGCTATTAAGCTTACGGTTAATGATTTTGTCAGGGATAAATTTATGGATAAAAATGGAAATATTGAACTTTTGGGAGAAATTATTTCTGGGGCTTGTGTAAGTTGAAAAAAAAAACATAATTTTTTTTTTGAAAAAAAAAAAAATTGAAAAAAAAATTTTTTTCCAGGCTGGAGGATCACAAGTAATTTTTACCAATCCCCTGGAGATAGTAAAAATCAGACTTCAAGTAGCTGGAGAAATTGCGGGAGCACAAAAAGTTCGCGCATGGGCGGTAGTCAAAGAATTGGGACTCTTTGGACTCTACAAGGGAGCAAGAGCTTGTTTACTTCGTGACGTTCCATTCAGTGCAATATACTTCCCGATGTACGCGCACACCAAAGCAAAACTTGCTGATGAAGGAGGTTATAACACGCCGTTATCCTTGCTATGCGCTGGCGCAATAGCTGGAGTTCCTGCCGCTGCATTAGTGACACCTGCCGACGTTATTAAAACCCGATTGCAGGTTAGTATCTTTTATTTTTTTATAAAAAGGTGATTTAATTATATATAGATAGATTTTTGAGAAAAATAAAGAAGGTAGTTAGAAAGTAGACGAAATTATGAAAAAAATGATGTATCGCACGACCTGATTCCTCGTAGGTCGATTTTTGATTAATGATCTATAGATCATTTGATAAATTATTAATGCGATTTTTGGTAGGATCAAAAAGTAATTAATAAGGGTTGTAGGTACTCATTTTAATCGGGATTTAAAGATCTAGGTCGTAGTATAAATAATTTTTAAAAATACAAAACTTTTTATTTTCATTAATGATTAATGAGGCGATTAATGGATCTAGGAAATTTTTTAAAAATAAACTAATTAAAAATTATTAATCTTTGATACCTCCCGAGTAAAATGAGCCGTCTCACGGCTCATTTGGTCGTGGGTCAATTTTCGACTAATTAATTATTTTTTTAAGGTCGTGGCTAGACAAGGACAGACAACTTACAGCGGGTTGATAGACTGCGCGAGGAAAATTTACCACGAAGAGGGCGCAAGAGCCTTCTGGAAAGGCGCTACAGGTATGTATTAATATTAATTCTACATTATTAATTATATTTATAATTACAAATAATTAAGATTAAATAAATACTACGGGTAATTTTTAATTTAAAAAAATTTGTTTCGGTTTATCGGCCCCCTACCCCCACCTTCTATTTATATATATTTTGGCTAATTACGTCAGTAAGTAATTAATAGTAATTATTATTATAAATGTTGCCTGGGATTTATTTATCGTCATTAAAATTTGTGATAATTTTTTGATTTTTTATTTTAATGTAACTAATAAAATTAATAATAATTGTTTAAGTATCAATGATGATATTAATAAATTTGAATTATTTTTTTTAGCTCGAGTTTTTAGATCTTCGCCGCAATTCGGAGTTACATTGTTTACGTACGAGTTATTGCAGAGGTTATTCGTCGTCGATTTTGGTGGATCGTAAGTACATTTTTAATTAATTTTTTTATGTGGAAATTGACCACTATACTACCGAAGAAAATTAGTTTTAAGTAAATTAGTTAGAGGAAAAAGAGGTATTAAAAAACAAAAATTGTTTTACAGTCGGCCAACTGGGTCTGACTTAAAAGTGCCATCTACCGGAATCGCAGATGATCTAAAATCAAAAAACAGCGACCATCTAGGTGGATACGAGGTCGCAGTTCCGATATTTTCAGGAATCGAGACCAAATTTGGACTTAGTTTGCCACGATTCCAAGCTGCCCCTCGACCAATTCCTAATAAATAAATTATTAAAAAAATTTATTATTAATTATTAATGAATAAAGTAATATATTTTTTTTGCACCCAGTGCGTTCATTTTTAAATAAAAATATTAATAAATAAAACACGAAACCGGTACATACAATGTAAATACAACAAACTGTAATATATTTATCATTAATAATTAATTAAATTTTTTTAGTTAATTGGAATATTTCCTCTGGATATTTTTTTAGGGTGGAATAAGGTGGGTATGCTTTAAGATCATTTTATTCCGAGTGAAATGATGTGTCGCACTACCCGTTTAATCGCAGGTCGATTTTGATTAATGATCTATAGATCATTTTATAAATTATTAATGCGATTTTTGGTAGGAACACATGTTAATCAATAAGGGTTGTAGGTACTCATTTTAATGAGGATTTAAAGATCTAGGTCGTAGTATTAATAATTTTTAAAAATACAAAACTTTTTTTTTCATTAATGATTAATGAGGCGATTAAAGGGTCTAGGAAATTTTTTAAAAATGAACTAATTAATAATTATTAATCTTCGATAACTCCCGAGTAAAATGAGCCATCTCACGAGTCATTTGGTCGCAGGTCAATTTTGATTAATGATCTATAGATCATCTGATAAATTATTAACGCGATCTTTGGTAAGAAGGAATAATAATTGATAGAGGTTGTAGGTATTCATTTTAAAGGGAATTTAAGGATCTAGGTCGCGGTGTTAATAATTTATCAAAAAATCAAGATTTAATTTTTTTTGTTTATTAATTCATGTCCGAGTTTACAAATCCAAGTTTTACATCTTTTATTTCTGTATACGACCAAAAACCATCTCGGCGTAAATCTTTGCAGCGCCCTTACAAGGTTCATGACTCTTAGGTTCGGCGCACGCATGCAAAGTCTACAACAAATTAAAACAAAGTAAGTAATATAATTAATTAAATACCTATCAACTGTCTGCGGTATACGTACTCCCATATATCCGAAATGGCAGGTAATTTCAACGTCTTTATTCGGCATAAATCCAGAAATATGACAGTACAAATTTTTTTTCAGCTTATCATATGGATGAATTAAATAAGAGACCATTATGGTGTATTGTTTTCCATCTTTTACCGTTTTTACTCGCGGCGGCCATAAAGTGTGAGGAGGCTCGTTAGAATTTTTAATCATATGTTTTTTATTTTTAACGAGCTCCTTCCAACCCAAACGTACAAACACTTGAACAACAGAGTCATTTTTATCAATTTTACTTCCGTATTTTTGATTGATTACTTTTTCAGTATCAATCGCAAAACACACCGCGACTACGAAAATCACTAATGTTACTAGTACTTTACTCATTTTTGTTTTTAATGTTCAAACCTCAGAAAATCGGGACTTAAATACTCAAAAATTGTTAACTTAACAATTTATTTTCCACGGATTATAAAAAAAATAAATAGACCAATGATTAACTGACCAAATTTTATTTACTTAACTATAATTTTCATTAATCATAAAAATAGGTCAAATTTATTTCAGCCGTCGTAGTTATGGTGATGACAGAAAAGGTTACATTTGACGGTATAGATAACAAAGTCTGGTATTTGATTGATCAGATTGTTTATTTATTTATATTTATCAAATGTGTTACTTTTTAAATTTATTTGTTTTCAATCTAATAAATTAGAAAAGATTTATAATATTTACAATTTTTGAGGCACCTAGAACTTTTTTAAGGATTTTTTCCTACAGGGAATTAAATTAGACAAAAATAAATAAGCCTTCTTAAATCTCCTTGAAATTCTGAAAAAAATGACGTGTCGCACGACCCGATTGGCCGCAGGTCGATTTTTGATTAATGATCTATAGATCATTTGATAAATTATTAATGCGATTTTTGGTAGGCACACATATTAACCAGTAAGGGTTGTAGGTACTCATTTTAATCAGGATTTAAAGATCTAGGTCGTATTATTAATAATTTTTAAAAATACAAACCTTTTTTTTTTCATTATGATTAATGAGGTGACTAATGGGTCTAGGAAATTTTTTTTAAATAAACTAATTAAAAATTATTAATCTTCGATACATCCCGAGTAAAATGAGCCATCTCACGGCTCATTTGGTCGCAGGTCGATTTTGATTGATGATCTATAGGTCATTTGATAAATTATTAACGCGATTTTTTTAAAGAAGGAAAAATAGCTAATAAGGGTTGTGGGTATTCATTTTTCTCAGGATTTGAAGATCTAGGTCGCAGTCATTATAATTCTTATTAAAAAAAAATTTTATCAAGACTAAACCATTTAATCATAAAACATATTTCATTTAAATAACAGAAAATTTATCTACTAAAAATCAGTGACGCGACTTCAAGTAGTAAAAAATGTTGTACATAGCGTCGACGTGCAAATCTCTGACATAAACTCTTTCTGACCCCAGATCGGTAGGTTCGATGTCTTTTGAACCAAAAGCTTGGCGATTTTCTTCGTTATCATACGCCGAGTATTCCATCTCGTCGACTAGCGACTTCCGTGAATTTACTTGTGGAGGTAAGCTTGAAATTGGCGAGTTTACCGATTTGTCTTCATCCGCGTCGCAGGTTGATTCTGATAGACCTTCTGTAGCTGTATATTAAAAAATTTAAAAGCTCAATTGTATTCAAATATATCAATATAAATTTTTTTTAAACTTCTTGCAAGCTTGCAAGAAATAATTAATATAAAAGCTCCAAATTTTAAGGACTTGTTAATTAAATATTAAGGAATCCAAATATATGAGAGCTTTTGAGAAATATTCAAGTTAAATGTCGAGTTTGCAAGCTCGATTATTTTTAGAATGAGAAAAAATTTTTATAAAATTGAAAATTTGGATCCAAAAAAAAATTTTTTTTTTTTCGGAGCTTTCAATGCTTACCACACAACGCAGGGTAAGTTGCCGACGGTGGAAACTCTTCAGGACAGTTATGCACTCCTTTAATATACGGAAGAGTTTTTAAGTAATTTCCTCTGTAAAATTATTTTATTAATATTATTAATAATATTTAAATTAATATTATTAATAATATTTAAATTAATTAATTAATGATATTAATATCATTTAAATTATCTTTATTAATTTATTTTAAAATTCTATTTTACCGATTGAATAATAATAATTTAACTACCCTGATAGCCAAACCGGTCGCAACTTTCCGTTGATTTGCTGCAGCAACTTGTCACCAAGTTGGCGGCAAGTCTTGGAAATGAACTCGGTTGTTCATCAAGTTGTCGGCAGAAATTGCTTTCGAAACTCTTTCGCACCAAGTTGACGACAAGTTTCTCGAGAAATTTGGCGACATATTGCGGCAGTAGATTGGTCTTGTTTTTCTCAGAAACTTGTAGCCAACTTGACGCCAACAGTTTCAAATTCGGAAGTTGACCGCAAGTTGTCGGTAAGTTGGTATCAACTATCTGACACCAACTTCCCTGATAACCACAGTTTCAGACCAACCAAGTTGGTGTCAGATAGTTACCACCAACTTACCGACAACTTGCGGTCAACTTCCGAATTTGAAACTGTTGGCGTCAAGTTGGCTACAAGTTTCTGAGAAAAACAAGACCAATCTACTGCCGCAATATGTCGCCAAATTTCTCGAGAAACTTGTCGTCAACTTGGTGCAAAAGAGTTTCGAAAGCAATTTCTGCCGACAACTTGGCGACAACTTGGTGAACAACCGAGTTCATTTCCAAGACTCGCCGCCAACTTTGTGACAAGTTGCGGCAGTAAATCGACGAAAAATTGCGACCCACATGGCCATCAGGGTCTTGTTTTTCTCAGAAACTTGTAGCAAACTTGACGCCAACAGTTTCAAATTCGGAAGTTGACCGCAAGTTGTCGGTAAGTTGGTATCAACTATCTGACACCAACTTCCCTGATAACCACAGTTTCAGACCAACCAAGTTGGTATCAGATAGTTGCCACCAACTTACCGACAACTTGCGGTCAACTTCCGAATTTGAAACTGTTGGCGTCAAGTTAGCTACAAGTTTCTGAGAAAAACAAGACCAATCTACTGCCGCAATATGTCGCCAAATTTCTCGAGAAACTTGTCGTCAACTTGGTGCGAAAGAGTTTCGAAAACAATTTTTGCCGACAACTTGGCGACAACTTGGTGAACAACCGAGTTCATTTCCAAGAATTGCCGCCAACTTGGTGACAAGTTGCGGCAGCAAATCGACGGAAAGTTGCGACCGGTTTGGCTATCAGGGTTGGTTGGTCTGAAACTGTAGCTATCAGGGTAATTCTACTTGCCCTACGGCGTAATTACAGACGTACAGTCGGTAAGTGACCCCTTCAGATAGATATCTAGTGAACCCGCAGCCGACTAGATAGGTGTTTGCCCACGCGAGCTTGAGATTCCCAGAAAATTAAAAAAATCATATTTAATACAATTATAATTTTTTTTATTAATTTTTAAAATAAAAATTACTAACCTGAGTATAGTGACCCGCGTTCGCGATGTCTGTAGGGTTAATAGGGTTAAAATTAAAGAACTCGTTCTCGTCGAACCACTTCTTTATCTGCTTCGCAAAGTCCTTCTTCGTGGGCGGTTTCTTCAGGTGGCTTCGAGTTATTCCAATATTTTGACCCACTATTTTAAACCTTCCTGCTAAGAAAAATTAATAGAATTCATTAAATAATTCATTGAATGTTTAAAGAGAATTTTCTTACCAATGCGACGTGCTTCTGCGGGATTGTGAGCAAATGTACAGTGATTAGCCCATTCTTGAGCTCCTTTTGCTAATTCTTCATCCCAGTACTATAATAACAACAACTAAAATTTAAAAATTTCTCTAATTCATTATAATTTATTATTAAAAGTTTATATTTTACTAATTTATAAAAGAAAATTTTTTTTAATCAATAAGAAAATCGATTTTTCTCTCCTAGTAATTTTTCAGCCGTACTAACTTGTATCCCGGTCAAATGTTGTTTTAATAGTTTTAACAACAAATTTATTTAATGTTTGTTATTAACTAACATATTTATTATTATAATTTTAAGAACAAATTTTGTTTATGTTCGTTATTAATTAACACCTAAGTTTATCAAGATGGTGTTGTCAGCAAGCTAAATCATTTATTTGTCTTTTTTAATTAGTTTTTTTTTAATTATCCTAAATAATTAATAGTTAAATATATAAACAATAATGTGTTGTAAGGTTGAAATAATAATATAAAAGTCTTTTTAATAAACAACTTGATGTAGAGGATTTAGTACTTGTCCCACCAGTGACAAATGCCTGTTCCACCAGTCGCAATAAAAACTAATTTTTTTAATTGTTTCTACGTACGGTAATCAGTCTAATTCTTCATAATATTCAATGTGTTGTAGGATTAATTTTGTTATTTTCGAGGGAACGTGTTTTTTTTTGAGTTTAGTGCTCGAACTGACAATTGGACTTTAAGTGTACCTTTGGTAAGAGAGAAGGATTTGTTGTTAGTCCCACCAGTCACACTTAGTCAAATTATAATTACGAGAAACTTAAAAAGTAATGGACGGTTTGTTGACAAAGGGATCTTGTTAATTAGTTATCCTTCTATATTATAAAATAAATTTTACTGTAGTATAAGTTTCAGTCAATTATATATAATTGATGGAATTCTCGTCAAATGTCCTACCCAGATAACATGTGATTGAGCAAGATTTAGGTGCCAGTGTCTTGAGCAAAACAACTAGGTGGTAGTGTCTTTTTCTACATATGGGTCTTGCTCAAGTTCAAGTAGAAAGAACTGCTTCAAGATTTATATATAACTAGCTCAAGACATTTTGTGGAAGAATATGAGACAAGTCTAATGCAAAGTGCATTGAAAAACTTTCTGACGGATTTGTTTGAATCAGAAACTCACAACAGACACTTTCCCATCACTTGCTCAACATTTGCTCAAGATCCGTAATTCTCAGTAATTTGTTCATTTCTAAAGCATTTGTCATCCAAAAACTAACAGCAAATGTTGAAGCGTGACTTGCTCAAGATTTGCTCAAGATGCATCATGCGTTATATATTTTATAGCACTTTTTCCCCGACAACTACTTGAAGATGTATTGATTCAGTGGTGGTCATTTTAAAATAATTTTGTCTTGATCGATAAAACAGTAGGTCTGTACTCTAAAAGGTTAAGCTGAATGAGATCCACTGATCCTATAGTAAATATAGGAGGGGTAGAATGATAAGAACGGTCATTCGAAAACATTTGATCTTGAGCAGATCTTGAGCAAGTCTTGCACAAGTATATTCAGCATGCTTCTGGTGTCAGTCTTTCTCAAGAATTGATATAGTTAGTTTATCGATAAGCATCTTCAGATTTTCTCAATTTTCTTACACAATTCTCGAGCTATAATCTGGCCGAAAGTTCTTGTACAAGGCTTGTTCAAGACTTGTCAATTTAATTAGCTACAAGTATCTGGAGCAAGAACCATAGGTAGAAAAAGAACCTCACAACTATCAAAATTAAGACCAGACTTGCTCAAGCTTTGAAAAAGATTACTATATGGGTATGAAATATGCCCCTTCTTAATTTACAAATTTCCTCTCATAAATTTTCCTTAAAATCAATATTATACTTTTCTACAACAATTTTCCATAAATTTCAAAATTTTCTTCTCTAAACAATAACGCTATTTATAATAAATAATAACAAGAAACAGGGTTTCATTTAATGAAATGTGGTTTGTTGGAACTGTCAGACACATTACTCTAATCACTGCTGCGGTTTTCCATGCACATACCCATATATATATTTATTTTACGTCCTATATGCATACATACATATCATCCATATGTAAATATACACAATATATATCTACATACTATATATATGTATTATTCCTGCATTTAAATATATATAACAACATTTCCGGTCGATTGAACGCGAATTTCCACAATTTATATATTTCAAATTACACGCTCATATATATACCTATATATATTGAAAATTCTTAAATATTAATTAAAAAATTATTACCAATTCTCTCATATTTTCTGCTGGAGGTTGTCCGTCAACTAATCCACTAGCTATTGAATTTCTTAGCTCATTATGTTTTTTTAAAATTTCATCTTTTAATTCACAAGAAATTCCTCCAGTTTCTATAAGAAAATTATATTAGAGAAAAATAAATAAGCCACTTTTAATCTCCGTGAAATTCCGAAAAAAATAACGTATCGCACGACCCGATTCGCCGTAGGTCAATTTTGATTAATGATCTATAGATCATTTGATAAATTATTAATGCGATTTTTGGTAGGAACAAATATTAATCAATAAGGGTTGTAGGTACTCATTTTAATTGGGATTTAAAGATCTAGATCGTGGTATTAATAATTTTTAAAAATACAAAACTTATTTTTTTGAAAAAAAAAATTTTTTTTTTTTTTTTTTTTAGAAAAAAATAACTTACCTAAAACTTCAACTCCAGGACAGTAAGTTTTCATTCCTTCAATCTTTAAAATATAAATCGCAAGTATAAAAATTCTCAACAAAAAAAATTTGACCTCCATTTAAAAAAAAAAAAATTTATAATTATTTTTTGACGAACAAACTCCGCTTGCTGGCCAAAGATTCGCAGTTATATTTCCCGTGAAGCTCGTTAAATCAGAATTTACGATCCCGGTAATTAATTTGTCTTGTTCTTTGTAATTAACGACAGTTTGATTGTTTGGATAGAAATTAAAAGTACAAGGGCCATTAAAACTAAACATGCTGCTTTTTGAAGCAGTTATAATTGATTTAGTCAGTTTTATTTTTATTTTTTATTAATAGCTCGAGTTAATTACAGTTGATTTTTCTAACATTATTATTGCTATTTTAGACTCTAGATATGCCGGAGCTAGTGTAATTAATAATTAACTTATTGAATTTTATTATTATTGGGATATTAATTAAAAGGGTATATAAATAGTTTTTAAAGGTTGTAATAATTGTTTTAGGGGTGATTTATTATTTTGTGAATTGAAAAATTGTGTTCAGTGAGAAAAGTGGCTATAACTTCTAAAATAATGATTTTAGGAAAAAATCATAAGAATCTAAATTTGTAGCTCAGGAAATTTCATAACTAAAACACTCCCTAACTTCAGGTTTATCTTCAATATTTTAGGAGATATAGTCACTTAAAGTGTTGAATTCCTAAAAAATCCAAAATCGTTATTTAGGAGTTATAAAAGTGTCTATATCTCCTGAAATATTGATTTTAGGCGAAAATTATAAAAGACCAAAATTGTAGCTTAGAAAATTTCCTAAAAAAATGTCTTAGTACTTCATTCCTATTTTCAATATTTTAGGAGATATTTAAAAAAAAAAAATTTTAAGAACCATATATATACTTCTAAATCTGATAATTATCAAAGTAATAACAATAACAATTCAATAGCCGTATCCGCAGAGCACGCCGAGATAATAATAGTTCCCGCGAGCTGAAACATAATTTCCACAATAAGATCAACTTTTTTTCTCCTCCTTTCCATTATCAAACTTTTTAATCAACTTACAACACAGTCCGGCGTATCTGTTGGAGTAAGATAACCCGTAGTTGCCGCAGGAGGGCTGCCCAGATTGATATGGCGGGTAGCCAAGAACGTTTCCGCTGAAAAATTCATTTTCTATTTTCCATATTCTGAATTGCATGTAAATCTACTCAATCTCTATAAAAAATAAAAAAATTCTTTTTTTATACCTCGGTCCATAATTGCAGACGTAGTTTTTAGTGTAGCCTTTTGAAGGATCGTAGTAGAAAGAATATCCGCAGCCGATTAAAAAAGTGTCGCTCCAAACAATCTAAAAAATTAGAAATATCCATTTTAAAGTTATAAAAAATAAATTTATTTATTTTTTGATTTAATATTCTTATTCACTATTAAATTCTCTATAAGTGCATTTTTTTATTTTTTTAATCCGACGTAGGTCAACAAAATTGCATTGGCGAGTTGTGAAAGTTACTAAAGTATTATTGGGACGGTCTAGGGTTCGATTCTTGGTCAAGGTAAATTTTTTTTTTTTTTTTTTTAAATTAATATTATTAAGAGGAAAAAAAATTTATTTTTTTTTTAGGCTGCATTAAAAAATTAATTATTTAATAAAAAATTATACTTACTTGTGTAAAGTGCCCCGAAGATCTCGGTATTCCAGTTTGAAAAAATTGAACTTCATTAAACCACCCTGAAATTTGTCTCCGCCAATTCGGCTCTGCGTCAAAAGGCCCCGGGGGCCTTGTGGTCCACGTTCGGGCAATATTTTGCCCCACTGCGAATCTTCCTAGAATAAAAAGAAATTTTTAATTATTAATTTATTTATTAATTAATAAATAATTTATTGAACTTACGAACGTGGCGATTAACGTCGTGAGATTCCGGGCAAGTTTCGGCCCATTTTTGTGCAATAGAAGCGAGCTCGTCATCCCAGATCTGAAATTATAGCGACGGTAATGGTGATAATAAATAATGGAAGAGCAGACAAGTTAACAGGAAAATTTAAGGGGATTTAAATGTACAGCTTAAGCCGTTAATGCATTTGCTGTTTTATTTATTTTTAGAGATAAAATAGGTGAGTATTAAAAAAAAATATAATAATTCTATTTAAAGATCAAGAAAAAAAAAGCGACCCAATAATAAAATTTAGGGTTATCTAAAAGATAAATTTATTATTAGAAAGTATTTATTATTTTCATTAACGTTCAGTTGTTCGATTGAGAAGCAACCGGGGAATAAGGAATAAAATAAAAATGTGTAAATTATTTTTAATATTGGTAATTTTAACATCACGCCGGTCTTTAGCTTTTTTAACAAATGATTATAATTGTGAAGAAAAAAAAGATTTTTATGAATTAAATTTAACTCACGACGATCCAGATGTGAGAAAATTCACTGAAGACGCCTGGAATAAATTAATAACTATAAGAACAATAAAAGGAGCGGAACTCCGAAGAGATATATATTTCAACTTTGTGCGCGAAAGTTCAAGTTGCAGGAACTGAAAGAAGATACACTATACTTATTGAAATTATCACCTATTTAGCGCCACATAGGTTATTGTGTATAATATTTATTATGACGAATCAACGGGAGCCTTTGAGTATAAGTTGTCACTCAGCAACTACTACAGTAAGTGTAATTTTCTTAATAAAAAAATTTTGTCTAATCCAGGAATCGAACCCAGTTCTTTAGGGTAACGTGCCGAAGGCTCTTCCACTGCACTGTTAAAAATTTCTATTGTAATTTTACAAGAAATGTATTGGAAGCTAATAGGCAAAACATTTATTTAAAATTACAATCGGGTAGTAATATTACAAAACATATGTAAAGTTACTAATTTTACAAGGTTTTGTAATTTTAAAAATATTTTTAGATTAGCTAAGTTTGTAAAATTACAATACTTTCCTTGAATTTTACTTTAATTGAAATAATAAAAAAGAAAGGTTTGATTTAATATTTGGTGTCATTTTATTTTTATGAAGCGCTGACTAGATTTTGCATCTCACGTAGACCTAATTTTTACAACTCTGATGATATAAAGTGACAAATAATATTTACCCTAATATAAGTAAGAATCGAACGCGAGCCGTGCGCTTGCCAGAACGATACCTAACGCCCTACGCCGTACGACCGATAGGTCATTTAACATCTTATTATTCTTACAAGTTAATCCTATGTGGTGATTGAGCTTTACGGCTTATTATTTATTATTTACATTATTTGTGTTATTTGATGCTGTTTATTGATGGAAAATAATTAACTTTTACATTATTTATAATTCATTGAATATTATAAAAATTAAACGTCTAACATATACTCATTAAAATATATTAATTTGGAAATGATCGTTTGAGCGTAATATTAAAATTTATAAAAGATAAATGATGCCTCGAATTTATTATTACAAATAAACTTAGACTAACAAATTAGTTAAAATAAATATCAAGGACATTGTTGTTTTTTGATACATCAGTCTCATTTTTGTAAAACTTAAAAAGATTGTTTTTAAAATTGGAAAACAGTCAAGTAGAATTACAATTCGTGTGATATAATTAAAATTGTCTGGTAACATTACATTGCACTGTAATTTTACAATGAAAATTGTAAAAATAAAAAAAAAGCTTTTTAAATTTTTTACCAGATTATTGTAATATAAATTACAATATTTTTTTGTGATTTTACATACAATTCAGATTCAGATGACAAATAATGTTTGCAAAATTAAAAAGCTATTTCTTAAAAATTGACCAATTGTAATATTACAATGCGTGTTAGGTTTATACATGAAGATTGTAAAATTACAATCTTAGTAGATTTCCTAAAAGGTGTTGGAAAATTACATGAATTGTATTTTAATTCGCATTGCTATACACTGATTTGTAATTTTACTTATTATTTGTTTTGTAATTTTACAAAAATATTTAACAGTGTGTGGATTTTTTTGATAGGCTCCTCAAAAAATTAGTCCTCCCACTCGTTTTATTCTTTCTAACCTCATGATTATATTTTTTGGTTTGCTTCAGGGCTATTCGGACCCGAGAGAAGTCGAGCAATATAATCTGTACAACCTTTTCAACAGAAACAAGCAATTCTTTGGTTGGTGATAACTCTCGCTTTTTTTATAAAAAGAGTTTTGAGAAATATATTTTAATTTATAAATAAAATTTTTATAATTTATAATATACCTTTTGTTTTTGTAGTTTTAAAGATATCTAAGCGATAACTGTAAAAATTTCACTTTTACGGAGTTTTTTTGAAATTATGGCGCTGCGATCGCTCCTACGGAAAATCACCGGATAAAATTTTGTAGGAAATCAAATTTCCTACAAGAAAGTATTCGGTTACTTTTATCGTAGGACTGATAATTCGTCCAGAAAATCGATTTAAAGTTTTCGACAAGTGTACCTTTGGTAAGAGAGAAGGATTTGTTGTTAGTCCCACCAGTCACACTTAGTCAAATAATAATTACGAGAAACTTAAAAAGTAATGGACGGTTTGTTGACAAAGGGATATTGTTAATTAGTTATTCTTCTATATTATAAGATAAATTTTACTGTAGTATAAGTTTCAGTCACATAATTATATATAATTGATGGAATTCCAGTCAAATGTCCCACCAGTCATTACGGAATGCCCCACCAGTCATTATGGAATGCCCCAGATTTTAAAGTAATGGCACTTAAGTTCATTAGATTACTTTAATTACAATTTTTTTTAAAGACAAAGGAAAAAAATGAACCAATAATCTAATTCTTAGAAGACTTATCTAAAAGATAAATAAATTTTTATAACGTTTTTAATTTTTTTTTTATCAACTTTTAGTTCTTCAATTTAAAAGTCACCGAAAATAATTAATAAAATAAAAATGTGTAAATTATTTTTAATATCGTTAATTTTAACATCAAGCTTGTCTTTGTCTTTTTCAACAAATAATTATAATTTTGAAGAAAAAAATGATTTATATGAATTACAATTAACTGGAAACGATCTAGATGTCGTTAAATTCGCGGAAAATGGCTGGGATAAATTAGTTGCTGAAAGAAGATCCAGAGGAGCGACGAAAAGAGGCAATTTTTATATCCTATGCGCAAGAGTCCAAGTTAAAGACACTGAAAGAAGATACATCATACTTGTTATGTATGCCAACGATTTTTCCGGAAAAATGTTATATTGTGTAATAATTGTTATGACGAATCAAACGGAGCCTTTGAGTATAAATTGTCACACGGGGAGTTTTACAGTAAGTATAAGTTTTCAAAAAATTAACCCTTTTCAAGGCTTGAGCAAGTTTGGTCTCAATTTCGATGGTTAGTGTCTTTTTCTACCTATGGTTCTTGCTCCAGATACTTGTAGCTAATTAAATTGACAAGTCTTGAACAAGCCTTGTACAAGAACTTTCGGCCAGATTATAGCTCGAGAATTGTGTAAGAAAATTGAGAAAATCTGAAGATGCTTATCGATAAACTAACTATATCAATTCTTGAGAAAGACTGACACCAGAAGCATGCTGAATATACTTGTGCAAAACTTGCTCAAGATCTGCTCAAGATCAAATGTTTTCGAATGACCGTTCTTATCATTCTACCCCTCCTATATTTACTATAGGATCAGTGGATCTTATTCAGCTTAACCTTTTAGAGTACAGACCTACTGTTGTATCGATCAAGACAAAATTATTTTAAAATGACCACCACTGAATCAATACATCTTCAAGTAGTTGCCGGGGAAAAAGTGCTATAAAATATATAACGCATGAAGCATCTTGAGCAAATCTTGAGCAAGTCACGCTTCAACATTTGCTGTTAGTTTTTGATTGACAAATGCTTTAGAAATGAACAAATTACTGAGAATTACGGATCTTGAGCAAATGTTGAGCAAGTGATGGGTAAGTGTCTGTTGTGAGTTTCTGATTCAAACAAATCCGTCAGAAAGTTTTTCAATGAACCTTGCATTAGACTTGTCTCATATTCTTCCACAAGATGTCTTGCGCTAGTTATATCTAAATCTTGAAGCAGTTCTTTCTACATGAACTTGAGCAAGACCCATATGTAGAAAAAGACACTAGTAATTAGGGGTTTTGCTCAAGACACTGGCACCTAAATCTTGCTCAAGCAATTATTGTTACCTGGCAATTACTTGATAATTATTTTCATTTTTTTTTCGTTTGATTAATATGGGAATCTATGCAGAATTTGGGGATCCACTATCCTCTCTTCCCGATAAATTATGATCATAATTGTATTTGTTGGATTGTTTCAGGATACTGGTGACTCGGCTGAACTCCAGCAACGTTATCAGTGGAGCCTCTTATACCAAAACACGCGAATCTGTCCTAAAAATTACCCTAGAAAATTCTGATAAATTTTTATAGGAGAAAAACCTTATAAAATTATTTTCTTAAGGATAATTCCTAAAATATTGAAAATAGACCTATAGTATAAAAACGTTTTTTATAGGAAATTTCTTAAGCTACAATTTTCCTCTCCTAAATTTTTCCTACACTGTTAAAAATTTCTATTGTAATTTTACAAGAAATATATTGGAACCTAATTAGGTTCCCCGATTAAACAATATGATTTAAAGGGGCTAAAATGATTAAATTTGAAATCATTTCAAATACTGCTCCTCATGGGAGTTAAATCATTTCTAATCATGTTGTTTATTCAGGGAATAGGCAAAACATTTATTTAAAATTACAATCGGGTAGTAATATTACAAAACATATGTAAGGTTACTAATTTTACAAGGTTTTGTAATTTTACAATTATTTTTAGATTAGCTAAGTTTGTAAAATTACAATACTTTCCTTGAATTTTACTTTAATTGAAATAATAAAAAAGAAAGGTTTGATTTAATATTTGGTGTCATTTTATTTTTATGAAGCGCTCACTAGATTTTGCATCTCACGTAGACGTAAGGTGTTGGAAAATTACATGAATTGTATTTTAATTCGCATTGCTATATACACTAATTTGTAATTTTACTTATTATTTGTTTTGTAATATTATTGTAATTTTACAAAAATTTTTAACAGTGTAAAGTCAATATTTTAGGAGTTATAACCACTTTTATAACACACAATATATAATTACTAATTAACTTAAAATTTTTTTTACCATTTCCATCATATTTGTCGCGGGCGGCTGGCCATGCACTTGCCCTAATGCTATTAACTGCCGTAATCGATTATGCTCATCCAATATCGTCTGCTTATCTTGACACGAAACAGCTCCCGCTTCTGTAAATTCAAACCAAAATCATAAATTGGGATCAAAAAAATTTTAAAAATTAAATAAATAGATAAATATGTCATTAACATAATTTTCCCACGGCACAATAAAGATTTACAATAGAAGTAACGCCTATCAGCCGTGCCTTCTAATTTCCGTATTATTTTTTTTTTTATTGCAATGGTTTATTTTTCATTTAAATAAACACGAACTGAAGCAGAAAGAGACTTAAATAAATAAATAAAAATATATTTGGCATTAAACAAAGCCTTTAAGAAGCGCTTGACCTGTTAAGATCCCTTGAATTACGTTCATGTCGCACTAGTATATTCACACGGTATTTAACACTTTATTTCTTCTTTATTTATTTATAAAATAACAATAATAATTTTTAAGACAAGAATTATTATAATCTTTCATTTTTTCATTGTGTCGACTCTATTTAAGTTATTATATCTTCTAAAAAATATAAAATGACATTTAAATTTATTTATAAATTAAAAATATACTTACTAAGAACGCTTTTTCCAAAACAAGCATAGGTGATAGAGAAAATTCCGCAAAAAAGGAAAACAATGTATAAATTCATTTTTGATTGAATTTTGTGATGTAAAATGTGATCCGAGTTTAAAGAACACTTTGTGGTTTTTTGATAAAAAACGGTAGGACGGAATGTGTCGACAGGTTTGTCAACTAATGGACCGCGGATTAAATTCACTGGCTTTATATCACTTGACTCCGGGTTAGGTGTATCAAGGTGAAGCTGAATAAATGCTGGGTGTGTTACTATTAGATTTTTTTTTTTGTGTATTTTAAGCCTCTAATAATTTCTAATAGTAAATGGAATAATTTAGTTATAGATTATAATTTATATTATAGATTATTTTTTAGGAGTTATGACCATTTTTATAATTACCAATTTAACACTACTTAAGTTCCTATATTTCCTAAAATATTGAAAATAACCTCATAGTATAAGAATATTTTTTAAGCTATATTTTTTTATTCTTATTAATTTTTCCTAAAATCAATATTTCAGGAGTTATAATTGTTTTTTTTACTTCCTGAATGTCAATTTTTAATTTTTCTTTAAACATTTTATGAGTGACTATATCTCCTAAAAAAATAAATAGTAAATGCAACATGATGCAGCCTTGGTAAATAAACATGATGAAATCATTTTGCAGGCACATGATTTGCCATATTTCGGCTACATGATAATCATGTTGTAGCAACATGATTTGACATGTTTCGGCAACATGACAATCATGTTGCAACAACATGATTTGTCATGTTTCGGCAAACATGATAATCATGTTGCAGAAACATGATTTGACATGTTTCGGTAGCATAAGGAAGTCATGTGGCAGCAACATGATTTGTCATGTTTCTGCAACATGTCAATCATGTTTCGTCAACATGAGAAACATCATGTGGCAGCAACATGATTTGTCATGTTTCGGCAACATGATAATCGTGTTGCGGTAGCATGAGAAAAATCATGTAGCAGCAACATGATTTGTCATGCTTTTGAAACATGATTTATCATGTTTCGGCAACATGGCAAATCGTGTTTCGGCAGCATGATAATAATGTTGCGGTAGTATGAGAAAAATCATGTGGCAGGAACATGATTTGTCATGTAGCCTTAATAACATAAAATTAAGCTGCAATAACTGAATATTTATGGTTCAGAAACATTATTTATTATCAAGCGAGTAGATTTTTTTGGATTTATAATATGGCAGATGACAATAATAGTAAACTATCGAATTATACAATTTGTGAACGATATCTTTGTTTATTTAAATTATATACAATTTTTATTGCTAATAGCTTTAGTTTGTAATAAAAGTGTTTATTTAAATTATATACAATTTTTATTGCTAATAGCTTTAGTTTGCAATAAAAGTCATAAAATAAAATTATTATTAATAGTTATCATTTTAAAATTAAAAATATCATGTTGCTGCAACATGATTTTTCTTATGCTACCGCAACATGACAAATCATGTTGTGCCACATGATTATTCTCATGCTACCGCAACATGATTGTCATGTTGCCAAAACATGACAATCATGTACCTGCAGCATGATTTCATCATGTTCATTTACCAAGACTGCATCATGTAGCATTTACTATTTATTTTTTTCCTTGTAAGATATTCAAATTAGACCCATAGTATAAAAACATTTTTAATAGGAAATTTTCTAAGCTACAATTTTCCTCTCATAATTTTCTCCTAAAATCAATAGTTTAGGAGTTATCAACACTTTTAAATTAAAGATTACCAATCCTTAAATTACCTCTAAAAATTCAATTGTATTTAAAAAAAAATTAACTAATTTCCCGTTAAGTATTAAAAATTTCAAAATCCATCCCAAAAATTTATTGCAGTTTAAACAAAAAGAAAGGTTCTGCACCAGTCCAGGTCATTTGCTAGCGCTAATTAATAGCAGTAATTAATTCTTCGCTAACTCTGAGCACGACTGGAAAATTCATTCATTTTACATTTTATTTTCTCTTTCTCTTTCTCTCATTTTCTAGAATGATGCATAAAGAACCTCCCCCTTCTACTCCCTCTACCCCCACTACTTGCAATTAAACATATTCTTCATAGTAAAATATAATAATTATATTATAAAAATCGTTGACAAATAATCGTTGGGTAGACCAACGAGCTCTATTGTCCGGGCCCATAATTTCATTGCTAGGCTTGGATTTGACGCGTACAGAGATGGCGCTGTTGTATCGCAGTTTCTAAAGAAGATAAATAAGAAAATTTTAAATATAACATTTATAATTGTTAATTGTTTAAAATAAATATAATTACATATAATAAAGACCGGTTTGGTTGGCAAGTTGAGGACTAGTTGCGCAATAAATTGTAGTTCCCGCGCCTTGGCGCGTGTTTTTTAACAATGGATCAATCAGACTTGCTATTTGCGCGGGAAAAAAGTCGTCGAATAATTTTGTACGGACTATTGTAGGATCCGCGGTATAAACGTGGATATTTAAAACGTTAATAACTGCAAAAATATTAGAGTTATAAGTTAGTAGTATAAAAACGTTTTTTGTAGGAAATTTTATAAGCTGCCTATATCTTCTAAAATATTTAAAATAGTGTTGGAATCTCCTATACACGGAAAAAAATAAATAGTAAATGCAATATGATGCAGTCTTGGTAAATAAACATGATGAAATCATGTCGCAGGTACATGATTAGTCATGTTTCGGCTACATGACAATCATGTTGCAATAGCATGAGAAAAATCATGTTGCAGCAACATGATTTGTCATGTTTCGGTAGCATGGCAATCATGTTGCAGTAGCACGACAATCATGTGGTAGCAACCGGATTTGCCATATTTCGACAACATGGCAATCATGTTGCAGCAACATGATTTGTTATGTTTCGGCGACATGACAATCATGTTGCAGCAACATGATTGGTCATGTTTCAGCCAACATGGCAATCATGTTTCGGCAGCATGTCAATCATGTTGCAGTAGCACGGCAATCATGTGGTAGCATCATGATTTGCCATATTTCAGCAACATGGTAATCATGTTGCAGTAGCACGGCAACCATGTGGTAGCAACATGATTTGCCATATTTCAGCAACATGGCAATCATGTTGCAGCAACATGATTTGCCATATTTCGGCAACATGGTAATCATTTTGCAGCAACATGACAATCATGTTGCGGTAACATGAAAAAATCATGTCCATTTACTAAGGCTGCATTATGTTGCATTTAGTATTTATTTTTTTCCGTATAAGATATTAAAATTAGACCCATAGTATAAAAACATTTTTAATAGGAAATTTTCTAAGCTACAATTTTCCTCTTATAATTTTCTCCTAAAATCAATATTTTAAGAGTTATCACCACTTTTTTATCTAAAAAATAAAAAGCACCATACTTAACCTTCAAATTTTCTCACTAATTCTTTTCCAAACAGTGTCATGGCGAGTTTACTCTGAGAATACGCTGCCCAGACATTAAAATCCTCGTTTTCCAAATTAAGGTCCTCAAAATTGATTTTTCCGACTGGAAAAATCAAAAAATCCTCTGAAATTATCTAATTAATATTAAAAAAATGCCTTTAATTACCGTAATGAAGCAAAGAGGACAAATTAATAACTCTCGCATGATCAGACCTCGACAGAGAGGGCAGCAGCAGCATGGTAAACAAAAATGGCGACAAGTAATTAGTCTGCAGAAGAGTCTCAAAGCCATCTTTAGATTTTTTGAACTCGCGAACTACAATTCCAGCATTGTTGATCAAAATGTCGATTCGCGGGAAATCCAAAGTAATTTTTTCTGCGCATGCGCGCACACTGGAGAAGTCAGTGAGGTCCAGTAGGTAAATTATCAGCTTGGAAGACCTGGAAAAATTTTTTTGTAATTTTTTAAGTAAATTTTTGGAAAATTCAATTAATTGAAGGTTTAAACTTACGAATTAGAGGTTTTTTTTATTTCTTCGGAGACTTGTTGAGCTTTTGGAATGTTTCGGGCTGGAATTATCAGTGTGGCACCTGGAAATTTTTGAGAGAGTTGAATTGAGGGATTTTCATTCAATTTTTTAGAAGATATAGTCACTTAAATTAATTATTAATTATTAAGTTTAATAATTATTAATTATTAAGGTTAATAATTATCAATTATTAAGGTTATTAATTATTAATTATTAAGTTTAATAATTATTAATTATTAAGTTTAATAATTATTAATTATTAAGGTGAATAATTATTAGTTATTAAGGTTATTAATTATTAAGGTTAATAATTATTAATTATTAAAGTTAATAATTATTTAAGTTAATAATTATTAACTATTAAGGTTTTTACATATTAAGATGAATAATTATTAATTATTAAGTTTAATAATTATAGACCGCGTTCATAAAGATCCTTTGCAGTCTCCAAACCAATTCCCGCCGTAGCTCCCGTAACAACAGCGACTTTTCCTTCTAACTTAATCCTGCCGTCAATCTTCCAATTGTCGCAGTAGTCATTCAAAAAAATTCCTATTCCCGGCTTAATTAAATTAAAATCACTTCCTAATATTATCACAATAATTACACTTATTAACTTCATTATTAATTTAAATAATAATGTTTACATTAATACACAAGACGAGACAAGAAATGAGAACTTTTCAACGTGAACTCAAAAATAAAATGCGTATATAAAGTATGTCAGTGACCATTGATTATTCAACTTGATAATTTACCTTGAAATTTTCATCATCTTACAGGTAAGATAAAATATTGTGTGTTATTTATTACAACTATTTATTATTATAACTAAGATGTCCTTTCCTTTCTCTTTATTCATTAACACATCGTTTTTTACTTTATTTTTTATTTTACTCTGCGGATTTTCAATGTCATTATTTATTATTATTATTATTATTATTATTATTATTTCATAATTTCTAATTGATAATATTCTTGCAAGCTCGACAAGAAATATAAATATAGATATTATACATTTATATATATATATTTTTTTACAGTATAATTCGCCATTTTACCTCTCAAATATTAATTCCACAAAAAAATCATTAGGTGCAAATTGTAGAGCGGAAAATTTCCTATAAAATCCACCTATTGGCTTCCCTGTAGCTTTTAAGCTATATATATATATATATATATCATATATTTATACATAATATCATTTATTTAAACCTCACAATTATCGATCTAGGATTATTTTTAATTTAAAAAATTAATGATTTTTTTAAATATATATTGAATGCCAAATTCAAGCTCGTTATTAATTATTATTATGTATTAATAATAATAATAATATTTTTTACAATTTCTGGTATTATTATCATTTTTTTCTGAACAAAAAAGTCTATTACTTTTACCTTTTTTTTTTTAATTACATTAATTATAATTATAAAATTAGAGATATCCGTTGAGAAAAAAACAATTTTTTTTTTTGGTAATTAATTAAGTAATTAAATTTTATAGTTATTACAACAATAACTTCTATATATATTTATTATCTTTATAAAAAAATTAATCAATTAACTTTTGATAGTAAGTGCCACACTTTCAAAAAAAAATTATTAATAAAACAATAATGGACAAAAAAAATTTTTTTTTTGCTCTGATAATAATTTTAAATTTCCATGGCGCTCTTCAATGTGGATCTGGGTAATTAATTAATCAATTAATTAATTAAATTTTACTATATTAATTAATTATAAAAATTTTAGAAGCTCCGAGCCGCTTAAAAAAGTGGAAGAAAAAAAAATAATAAAACACGTGGTGATAAATGACACAGAAGTGATAGAGTCGACGAAACATCTAAAGTTCCTGAGGGACTTTGAGGGCGTAAGTAGGGTCCACCGCTTTGATCCAGGGTTTTACTTGTATCTTAAGTGCAACGGAAGCTACCATGAGCAAATGGGAAGGGTCCTGCATGGAATGTGCTCTTATTGCGTCGAAATGCAACCGTCGAAGAACAACGTTTATTGGCGGTGCATGTAAATATTTTTCTTGCTAATTATTTTCTAATAGGGAACTATTAGTACTGATCAGACAACTCAGGGTTCGAATCCCGGTCGGGTTAAATAATTTTTTTATTCTTCAAAATTAATTTTTTTATTGTCTAATGACTAGGGTAAAAGCCCGAATTGACACTATAAGAGACAAAGTTATGATTTGATTTTTTTTAAGCAATCAAATATCAATATTGAATTAATGGGTCTAGGAAATTTTTTAAAAATAAATTAATTAAAAATTATTAATCTTCGATACCTCCCGAGTAAAGTGAGCCGTTTCACGACTCATTTGGTCGCGGGTCAATTTTGATTAATGATCTATAGATCATTTGATAAATTATTAATGCGATTTTTGGTAGGAACAAATATTAATCAATAAGGCTTGTAGGTACTCATTTTAATCAGGATTTAAAGACCTAGGTCGCAGTATTAATAATTTTTAATAATTTCGATTATTCAATTTTATAAATTTTTTATATATTGTTAATTAAAAAAAAAAAAAGATAATTATAATTAGATAAAGAAATTAATTTAAACAGCATTTAAAAAAATAACTTTTCTAACCAAAGCTAACTTTATTTTTTAATAATTAATATTTAATATTGGACAGTAATTTTTTTTCAATTTTTTAATTAATTAGAATTTAATAAACATTTATATAGGTGTCAATATTCAGACCCCTGTCAATAATTGGGGCTTTGACCTTACTGTTGACTTAGTAGAACCTAAAAAATCATAATTTAGGATTCTACTTAAAAAAAAATTTTTTTAGGGACAAATGCTTTACTAGTCTCAAGGCCACCAATTGTCTCCGCAACTACGAAGAGTTAGTCCTGAAAAAAGTCAGGGAAATTGAGGGGTACGTCAAAGAATTAAGCGGATACCCCATGAAATTTTAATGTTGATTTTTATTATTTTCAATAAAAATTAAATTACAAATAAATTTTTTTTTTTTTATTTTTATTTTTAATTATCAACTTACGACAATTAAACTCCCATTAAGCTTTTGAAGTAATGGCTCGAATATTGTTATTTCGACATTCTTTTCTTGGCCGTAAAATTTTAAACAATTATTAAAACTTTCTGTTGAGAAACATTCATTCCTAAAATAAATTTTATTACTTTTTTTTTATTTTTTAGAAAAAAAAATATTTTTTTTTTCATAAAAAAAATTTTTTATGATTTACTTGCAGCTCCTAAAATTTTTATTTTTCGGCCTTGAAAAAAAACAATAATCACAGAGTTCTCTTAAAATATTTCCTGCATCTTCATCGAATGTTCCCTTGCAATTCATCATTTTAAAAAACAAGTAGTCAAATTGATATTTTCTCTTAGTGGCTTCATTTTTTGCACTTGTGAGTAAATCCTTTAGAATACTCGAGTTGGAAATTATTTCTGAGACTGATGATATATTAATAGGATCTCTTAAAGCCGTAGGAGGACTAAAGAAATAAAAAAAAAAAATTTTTTTTATAATTTTGTCGGTCTGTAACTTTTAAACGGCTTGTCTAATTAATTTTTCAAAAAATTGAAATTTAAAAAATTAAAATCTCATAATTTCTAATTGATAGTATTCTTGCAAGCTCGACAGAAAATATAAATATAGATATTATACATTTATATATATATATTTTTTTACAGTATAATTCGCCATTTTACCTCTCAAATATTAATTCCACAAAAAAATCATTAGGTGCAAATTGTAGAGCGGAAAATTTCCTATAAAATCCACCTATTGGCTTCCCTGTAGCTTTTAGGTCGCCATTTTGTGTCATCGCGGCCGCCATTTTGTCGTAAACTTTAAATCGATTTTCCGGGGCTTAATATCACTTCTACGATAAAAATAAAAAAACTAACCTATAGGAAATTTAATTCCCTACAGGATGGTGAGGTTTATTTTTCCGTAGGAGCGATAGCAGCGCCATAATTTAAAAAAAAAATAAATTTTTTTTAAAATTGAAATTTTTTAATTCGCGGTTTTTTTTAATTAATTAATTAAAAATCTTACCTTAAACAGTACTCCTGAGACTTCATAACTACGTTAAAAAAAATGAAAAAAAGTAATAAAATTACTGTCTTCATATTGAAGTTACTTTTTTATCTATAAAATGAAACTACAAAAGTAAAAGTGAATAAAGTGAAACGCAGAACGAAAACGTCTTAATATATCAATTTTTATCAGCATTAATGTGAAATATAATAACGAAAATATAAAAAAAAAAATTGATAAAAAAAAATGCTAGTTTAGGAAAACACTAAAAATAAAAAAAGAGCCATTAATTAATTTTATATATTTCATTTATTTTATTTTATTTAATATACATACATATATTTTTTCTTAACTACAATTACAGTATACTATTACATACAATGTTAAAAGTATAATAAATAAAAAAAAATTGTTCATGTTAATTTAATTATTTATAATTGTTAATTAGAAGTACAAACAAAACTCGGGAGTGAAAAATAATTGAAAAAGTAAAAAAAAAAAAAGATTAAATAGGTACAAACTTCATTAGAAGCCAAGATTGCACGCGAAGATCGTTGTATTACGACCTTTAAAGCCTGTCGTAATTGACTATTATTGTTATCAATTATTATTATGTATATACCACGTGTTATTTTTCTATCTAATTTATTACATTTTATTTTTTAGAGAAGGTTAAATTATTTTTTTCTTTGGAATAATTTTTAAAAATGGCTGCAACTCCTAAAATATTGAGTTTAGGAGAAATTTATAAGAGACCAAAATTGTAGATTAGGAAATTTCCTATCAAAAATGTTCTTATACTAGGGTGTTAAATTCAATATTTTAGGAGTTATAGGAACTTTAATAGTGTTGACTTAATAAAAATACTGTTAAAGTAGCCATAACTCCTAAAATATAGATTTTAGGAGAAAATTATAAAGCTATATTTGTAGCTTAGGAAATTTCCTAAAAAAAACCTCTTAGTACTTCATCTCTATCTTTAATATTTTAGGAGATATAGGAACTTTTATAGTGTTGACTTAATAATTGAGGATAATACAATATTTAGGAACTATAAAAGTGGTTATAACTCCTAAAATATTGATTGTAGGAGAATTCTATAAGAGACCAAAATTGTAGCTTAGGAAATTTTCTACAAAAAATGTCTTAGTACTTCAACTTTATTTTCAATATTTTAGGAAATATAGGAACTTTTATAGTGTTGACTCGATAAAAATACTATTAAAATAACCATATCTCCTAAAATATTGATTTTAGGAGAAAATAATAAGACTAAATTTGTAGTTTAAGAAATTTCCTACAAAAAATGTCTTAGTACTTCATTCCTATTTTCAATATTTTAGGAGATATAGTCACTTATATAGTCACTTCCTAAAAATATCTAAAACTCCTAAAATTTATATTTTTTCTTCATAAAAAATTATTTAACCTTCTTAAAAAAAAAATTAAGAGTGCAACGCTTAGAACTTAAACATGGTCCCTGCCATTTTCCTAAAATGTCCGCTGCATCCACCATTTTATACATTTCTACCAAATAAAATTTACATAGAATTAATAACTAATTAATCTAGCCAAGCATTGTTTTTTTGTTTTTTTTTTTCAATTATTAAATAATTGATTGCAAGCATTACACAAATTTAAATATTTATTATTATTATAATTATTGTTATCATTATTATTATCTCATAATTTCTAATTGATAGTATTCTTGCAAGCTCGACAGGAAATATAAATATAGATATCATACATTTTTATATATATATTTTTTTTTACAGTATAATTCGCCATTTTACCCCTCAAATATTAATCCGACAAAAAAATCATTAGGTGCAAATTGTAGAGCGGAAAATTTCCTATAAAATCCACCTATTGGCTTCCCTGTAGCTTTTAGGCCGCCATTTTGTGTCATCGCGGCCGCCATTTTGTCGTAAACTTTAAATCGATTTTTCGGGGCTTAATATCACTTCTACGATAAAAATAAAAAA